GACATTTTGAAACCTTTTGCTAAATTACTCTACTAAAAGGTTATACAAATTTATACTACCAATAGCCATTTTGTTGTTTAATCCTGCTGTGCAAAATATCTCTACTTTCTTCCGTGTTTGAATGAATATAGTTTCAGTTCATTACCGCTGGGTTAGAGAGGTAAATAGTCTGGGCAGTATGCATAGCCAGGCCTTAACCTCCTCCTACATCACTCAGGAGGTCTACATTTTCTACTTCTGTTCCCCAAGTGCGCCTTGTGCCTCCAATCCTTAACCCATTCCTTCAGCGATTTCTTCCATTTCAATTCAGGTATAGTGAGCCTTTCTTGAGAAACAATCAATGTCAGGTACCAAGTAGAACACTTTACACCTCTTATTACATCTAATCCTCAAAAGCAAGTCTAGGAAGTAGGCATTTGCATGCCCATATTACAAATGATGAAACTGAGCCTCAGAGAGATTAAGTGGACTAAGCTTATCTAATTAGTAGGCGGTATATTTTCATCAGATATTCTGAATTTGTTCTGCATTCTCCCCCTCTGGTGCTTTTCATACCAAAACTTAGGGCAGAGGAAAGGAAACACACACCCTTGAGTTGTCTCTATGTATATCCCAAAGCTGTCTCCCCCGAGCAAGCCAAGTTTTCTTTGAATTCTCATATTTACATTAAAAATGCATACAGGTTTTGATTTTCGCTTTTAAATATATCTGCATTTTAAAAATATTTAAAATATTTCAAACTGCTTGCTATCAAGTATAACTGAAACTCCAGGAAGCTGCCAGTTTCCCTTGTGGCTTGGTGAACCCTGGCCCACTGCTTCCAGGGCAGACAAAGGAGCATGGTTCTGTATGTTGGTGTCCCATGGAGAGGCTCCTACCCAACCTTCAAAACCCAGCTCATACGCTGCTTCAATATCAAGCCTCCCTGCAGGGTTAGCAAGCCCAGAGTTGTGTCTCTGTTCTAGAGAACCATGAACTACAACGTAACCCTGTGCCTTGGACTGAAACTACACAGCGTCTTTCTTTTGACTATAACCTTCATGGATTCAGTCCTCTATCATATATCTTCAAGAACTTTGCAACAGAGAAGAGGCTTGTTAGATTTCTAATGAACAAAGCATTGAAGATAAGTGAACGCATTATTGTGTTAACCACTTTTACTTTTCCAAAGGAATTGGGAATTGCCAAAATAATGAAAGCCTACTTCTGAGTCCCAACTTCTCTTAAACACTCCTAAGTCTTGCTTTAAGTAGTTATGTTAGCCTCGTTCTCCCTTGGAAATCACACATTTAGCTTGCCCATGTAGATATACTCAATTCCCAGCAATATCCCTGACACATTCATTGACACTGGGCACGCCATTCATTTCTTCTCCTGTCTCTGGAAAAAGGGGATAATTGCATTTGCCAGTTACCACTCAGGAATGCTGTCAGAGTTGATGAAACTATGTTTTTAAAAGGCCTCTTTGGGAGTAATATGCCACATAAATCACAGTCCCCTATTAAAGTGGTTCTTTTAGTGCTTATTTATTTAGTAGTTGCTAGAACACTGATATTTCTTCCTAGATAGTTCATATTGAGTTGCTGGAAGCCTTAATACTCGGGACCAAACAGAATTTTTTTTTTTTTTTAATTTATTTTTGGGTGTGTTGGGTCTTGTTTCTATGCGAGGGCTTTCTCTAGTTGTGGCAAGCGGGGGCCACTCTTCATCGCGGTGCGCGGGCCTCTCAGTATCGCGGCCTCTCTTGTTGCGGAGCACAGGCTCCAGATGCGCAGGCTCAGTAGTTGTGGCTCACGCGCCTAGTTGCTCCGCGGCATGTGGGACCCTCCCAAACCAGGGCCCAAACCAGGGCCCAAACCTGTGTCCCCTGCATTGGCAGGCAGATTCTCAACCACTGTGCCACCAGGGAAGCCCCAAACAGAATTTCTGTATCTATAACCTTCTGATGAGAATTAAACTTGGTACCTTTGCTTTCTGCTTTTGGAAGTTTTCAAGTTGATTATCTCTATCAACGTGTCCAGGCCATTCCTAGCCAAATACCGGTGCATGTTTGAGTTAATAGGTAAAACTACTGCATCCTTGTAGTAGTTGAACATATTGGTATTTTTCTGTCTCATATTATCTGGTATTTTAAGAATTGAATCTCAGTATTTAAAAATCTCACAGTTTTCATGAAGCATCCATAATTCTACCACCTGAGTCTCAGGTCAGTTGCTCCAAATTAGCCACTCCTTATATGGGACAATAAACCATCTAAGAATTGAATGGTCTGAATTTTTTAATTCTAGTAACTGTCTATAAATGTACAGTTCAACAGTTACTAGCCACAGAAAAAAAAATTTCAGTCCCTCAGTTCCAGTAGCTTGCAATTCAAGATCATGTGACCCATGGCTCCTGTATTGGGCAGGACAGTAATAGAATATTTTCACATCACAGAAAGTCCTACTGGACAGTGCTGGTCTATAAAATTTGTATCTTAAGACTAATGTATTTAGCTGAAAGATTTTTAACTTTCTGCTCTTCCCTTTCACACCTGTCTTAGGTTTTTTCCCCCCTCCTACTATAATGAAAAATTTTAATTGTTTGGGCCTTAAAAACAGTCTCACCTCCAAGGCCATGATTTGAACACAAAGTCTGAGGAAAATGACATGTGGAATCGCCATCTGGAGGTCGGTGCAGCGGCAGATCCAGCCATTTCTGAGAAATTGTCTGGGTTTGGAGTTACTCCCAGAACTCTGATTTAGCAGTTCCTAAGCTTATAGCAAGTCTGAAAGGAACACAAATCTGTTTTATATATACAAATAAATCCTCGTACGCTGCATGCCATTCTCAGCCTGCCAGTTTCATCTGGCTGCTCCAGAAAATATAATTCAATAACACATTAGTTAACCTGCATGCAGGGAATGGGGCATTCTGATTATTGAAATGTTCTGGTTGAGTGATTAACCTGATTTTTGCAGAAAAACTGCCGAGGCGAGGGATTTTTCTGTCCAAGATGTTGTGCCACTGTAATTCTCTCTTCCAGATGATCACGGCTGCATTGCTTCTCTCCTCCAGAACTCAGAAATACATCTCTTTGCTAAAAACTTTCAAATATGCAGTTGATACACTCTCAAACAGGCCTCAAAAATAGATCAATAATGGTGTTTCAGATAATCTTAGAAAAAAGAGTAAACTTAGAAGGAAAAGTAATATCTTTGCCCAAATGTTACACAGTTGTAACACTCAAGAGTTCCTAACAATAGGGCAACTTCTTCAAATAGTATAACTTCAAAATATTAATTCAGATATTTCATTTTCTTTAGTAATAAATACTTAAAGGTGCTTATTAGATATTAGGCAATGCTGCAAGGGCTTTGTAAGTATTAATTCATTTAATTTTTATAACCACCTTAAAATTAGGTACCAGATTATTGTATTCATTTTCAAGATGAAGAAACTGGCACAGAGAGTTGGGGATAGGCCAAGCTGATCTATCTGAATGCTCACTGGTACAAGAAGTTGTAGCATCAATGAGGGAATAACTAGGTTTATGAGAGGGTGCCCAGCTGAGTTAGGTGGCTCCTACTTCCCCCGCTTCCCCTTTCCAAATATTAGAAGAGTAGAGTTGAGGGGCCAGTATGCAGAAAAGCGAAGAGGGACTCTGGCAATGCTCAATTAGGCCCAAAGTAAAAAATGGGAGTTAAGAAAGGCTTTTCTTAATTTTTACTTAAGTAATTCTTACCTGTAATGTGTAAGGGTGTTAGGGATATATATAATTCATTCCATTTTAATAGATTTGTCTCTCAAAGGCAATTAATTTTTTTTTCCAATTTAGCAAATATATATTGAGCAATGGGCTAGCACTGGGAGGGATGAAAGCAACACAGAATTGACTAAGACATCATTGTGATCCTTGATGGCTTCCCAATTTAACTGGGAAAACAGTCAAACGGAAACCAATAATTGTGTAAAATATGTTATGAAACACATATGCTTCAAGGGAGGGTACAAAGTGCTGAAAGAGCATAGAAGAAAGAATAGTCAGTTTTGACTTGGGAAATCAAAGCATGTTTCAGAGAGGAGTAGCTTTTGAGATCCAGTTTCAGAGATGAGTAAGAATTCAGGCAAAAAGGGGGAGGAAATTAGAAAGTATAGTTGTGAAACCCAAACATCTCAAAGATTTTGACGAGTGCTGTAATGGTAAGAAGGCTTAGTGGTGAAATAATGAATGGCAGTGAGTGTGTGTGTGTGTGTGTGTGTGTGTGTGTGAGAGAGAGAGATTGAGAGAGAGAGAGATTGAGAGAGAGGGAAAGTGTGGAAGAAGAGAATAAGCCTAAGGAAGGTTTTAAAGATTAAATGAGTTAACATTTTCAGACTACCCAGCAAATAGCAGATATTGGATTCAAGAATTTCTCCATCTCATTTCATTGCATTTCACACCAAGGAATTTTTTGCCAAGTTTATTTTAACATTTAAGTAAAAGCCAATAAACAAATACTAGAAAAATCCAGTTTCACTTTCAAATGTGTTTTTCCAGAGTCCAGAAAATATTTTGAACTTCAGAGTGGGATAAAGTGGGAAAAGTAAGACTAAATTTCTAAAAATGTTTTATTTGGGAAAACCTTAGATAAATCCTTGTCAGAGCTGAAATGTTGGAACACTACCAATCTCCTCAACCAGAAAAAAATAAAATAGAATAAAAACATTGAAAATATGAGGAATGAATAACTAATCAAAGAAAAAGGAAAAGGTTTTCTTTGCCTAGAGAGGTTTCATTGAGCTTTTTTTGATGTTCTTATTAGCTGCAGAATAAAGTTTTACATTTAAAATATTTATAGTTGTATTCAATTATGAATTTCTAAGTTTGCATTTTCTCTTATTTTCATCTTTGCTAATTTAATATCATGTTAATATGCCTCAGACAACCTTAGCAAGGGTGACTGTAACAATTTTTTAAAACTTATTTTTAGTAGCCCAAAGGAGCATCTTCTTAACTATACTTTTGTCTTTTCTGGCAGATGACATTTGATCCAGAAATCTTCTTCAATGTTTTACTGCCACCAATTATATTTCATGCCGGATATAGCCTAAAGAAGGTAAATATACAGTGATTGTTTTCTTCTTGTATCATTAAGTAGAGTATTTTGCCAGCACTAATGAAAACAATTACTTTATTTTATGGGTTTGCCTATTTGGTAAGAATATCATTATCTTAGATCATATGTGATACAGATTCAAATCTGACATGCTTAGAATTCTTCTAAATCCTGCTATGTCCAGTATACTAACCGATAGCCACGTGCCATTGAAATGTGACTAGTCTGAATGGTGTGCTTTTTCTTTTTTGTTTGTTTTTTTAACTTTTATTTATTTTTTAATATTTGGGGTGTTTTAATCAGTCGTTTTTCTAGAGTTATCATAGTTTATTTTATTTTCTTTATTTATTTTTGGCTGCGTTGGGTCTTCACTGCTGTGCGTGGGCTTTCTCTAGTTGCGCAGAGCAGGGGTTACTCTTTATTGAGGTGCACGGGCTTCTCATTGCGGTGGCCTCTTGTTGTGGAGCATGGGCTCTAGGCACGCGGGCTTCAGTAGTTGTGGTGCTCGGACTCAGTAGTTGTGGCATCCGGGCTTAGTTGCTCCATGGCATGTGGAATCTTCCCAGACCAGGGCTCGAACCCATGTCCCCTGCATTGGCAAGCTGATTCTTAACTCTGCACCACCAGGGAAGCCCCTGAAGACGTGCTTTAAGTGTACAAGATGCACTGGATTTTACAGACTCAGTATCAAAAAATAATGTAAATTATTTCAATAATGTTTTATATTGATTTCATACAGAAATGATAATGTTTGAATATATTGGGTTAAATAAAACATTTTATTATCAACATTCATTTTACTTTTTTTTTTTTTTTTTTTTTTGCGGTATGCGGGCCTCTCACTGCTGTGGCCTCTCTTGTTGCGGAGAGGCGCGCAGGCTCAGTGGCCATGGCTCACGAGCCCAGCCGCTCCGCGGCATGGGGGATCTTCCCAGACCGGGGCACGAACCCACGTCCCCTGCCTCGGTAGGCGGACTCTCAACCACTGCGCCACCAGGGAAGCCCTCATTTTACTTTTTAAAAACTTATTTTAAAGTGGCTACTAGAAAAATTTTAAATGACATATATGGTTTACATTATATTTCTACTGGGCAATATTATTCTAGATGATTATAACCAAAGAGTTTGCTGTTAATTACATTGGGTTTACCCATCACCCATTGGGTGAAAACTTAAGATTGTTTTGCTAATACTCAGCTGTTGATGCTGATAGAGACAAAGTCTGGTTTTGCAGTTTCTATGCACTTGCAAAACATTACTTAGGTGCAGCCTGAATGCTCACATTTCCTAAATTAGTAATTCCCATAGAAGTTTAGGTGCTAGCATCCTAAGTGCTGCAGAGTGAGGTTCTGGCCTGAATGAGTTTTGAGATGCAGAGGTAGTGCAGTTGCTTTTCTGCTGCCCACCACCCACTCCAGAGATTCCTAGGGCTCTCCTCCTTTGGCCTGTGGGCTCCAGCAACCTTTGCTTTTTCAGCACAGACCTGATTTTCTTGTGTCCTCCAGGCTCCCTCTTTCTGTCAGTTCTGGCTACTCAGATGCCACTTACAGGACTGGAAGGGAGTTTTCCCAAGCAAGCATTTGAAAAGATTTAGAAAGCTAGACTTATTCCAGTCATCCTTCCTCATCCCCAGCCCCAAGGCTAGGTATCATTTTGTGTGATTCATTAGAATAAACTGTTGTAGGTGATTAAGGTTTTGTTTCATCACATTCAGAAGAACTGTAAATCAGAGATCCAATAAAAGTCAAAAGACAACTTAAATCTTTTTTTTTTTTTTTCTGCGGTACGCGGGCCTCTCACTGTTGTGGCCTCTCCCATTGCGGAGCACAGGCTCCGGACGCGCAGGCTCAGCGGCCGTGGCTCACGGGCCCAGCTGCTCCGCGGCATATCGGACCGGGGCACGAACCCGTGTCCCCTGCATCGGCAGGCGGACTCTCAACTACTGCGCCACCAGGGAAGCCCAACTTAAATCTTTTAGAATAGTATATTTAAAGTGCTAAAGGGGTTTCAGTGACAACAAAACTTCTGAAAAACTCTGTCTTCCTTTAATCATCCCAGAATCCTGCATGGCCATTGCTCCAGTCCCTTCCCTCTCTCTCAGGTCCAGCCAGTTCTGGCAGTAGTTTCTCTCATCTCTACCCTGTCACCTTCCAGGTGTATTTTTTCCCCTATTTTTTGGAAACCTCTGTCCTTTTCTGTGTAAATCAGTTAAGCCTTATTTGTACAATAGGGCCAGGAACTGATGCTCCAAAAACAAAATTTGCCTAAACAGTGAGGGAAGGGTGGGGCAATTTATTGCATTTATTTTTATTTCCTGTTAACACTAAGAAGAAGAAAAATGCTGACGTACTATATAAAATGTATCTTTTTCTCCCCAGAGACACTTTTTTCAGAACTTAGGATCTATTTTAACATATGCCTTCTTGGGAACTGCCATCTCCTGTATCGTCATAGGGTAAGTGAAATTCGGAGCTCAAGTTCCAGAAGGCTGTAGGGCCGGTGCTCTCGAAATGGGAGGAATCTCACATTTCCTGGACTCACACTGACTGGGTGAATTGTCTATTTTTTTCAGTATATCACCTCTTTACACATTTTTGACTCAATGCCAAGGCTTGCATGTCTTCTGACAAACACAAGTCTTCAAATCAAAGCTAACTAGAATTAGACTGTTGGATTTTCTCTGTGAGTTTTGAACTTCTGACTTAGGGAATGTGGATAATTTGGTTTGAGTTATGTGAAGCACGTTGACTTTTTTGGCTTAAATAACGCAGATACGCACATTGCATTCGTTTTCCTTCTTCTTGGCAGAACCTTACCTATATATAGTTGATAGGAGTAAAATAGTAGCTATACGTTAAGGGTTTTCTTTCTAAGGGAAAGTTTACAAGAGAGCAGTCTGAGACAGACATCTCTAAATATTAGCAGAGTTGTTTACTGCTGGGATACACTGTAGGACACAGACTTGTTTTTTTCTCATTATATTTTATTGGTTATGCTGCTAAGCCCCAAGTCTAACTATACAGACTCTGGCTTGCAGCTCATCATAAAACAAAATGTGGTACAAAATAGTGAAGCCAACCCAATTCACTCATAATCCTATCCAATACGTTAAATCTCCACTGCAGAAAACATGTACAGCTGCTATGACTACAAAGGCATGGATGTCTTAAATTGTCAATACAGCCGGTTCTACCCTGGAATTTTACTGCATACAGCTGTTATATCCCTAACACAAGAAACTGAGGCTAAAAACACACATTAGTCACTCATCCAGCCTTTTCCTTACGAAATATTTAGTGTGTGTCACCGGAAGGCTAAGGAGCTCTCATTACTTGGACCTGAAAGTGGGGAGCCGGGGGGGGGGGGAGTATTTTGAATTCTCTGTTAAATTTTTATTGATTCAAGCCTAGAACAACTCAGGCTACATTATATGAAAATGTCCAGCTTGGTTAAGGCGGTGAGGAAGCTGAAGATTTTAGCACCTGAAGGTGGAGGCTTGCAGAGATGTAGACGGGGGAGCCTTATAAAATCTGGACAACTAAGAGATCTACCAACTGTTTGTGATTGAGAGTCACAGTGGATTTGATCTTTCTCAACGCTTGTTCAAGGGGGGGCTTCTCTGTTCTGTGGGTATGCCGTAGCTAAATATCCCTGTTTCAAAGCTGGCGAGGGCCTCAGAGGTCTGTGTAGTTAAAACCCCTCCTTCCGGAGATGGAGGAATGTAACATCTTGAAAGGCTAATTAATTGTTTCAGTCTCACCATCCATGAGAAGTAGGACCTTGGTCAGGACAAAATTCCGAACTTCTTCTCTTGATCCAGTAGCTCCTTCCATCACCCACCGCTTCATTTAGCAATTTATCTTGAATTTCCATACACACCTAATATTATTCCTATACATTGACACAAGACTCTGAGATGTGTGGACTCTACAAATGATTGATTATCAGTTTATAGCAAGATTGATCTTTAGCAGTTCTATAATATGGAAATCTGAGATTTACAGTAGATGCAAATTCTAAACTTGTGGACAATGCTGTCAAATTATGGCATAATCTGTTTCATTATTATTCTGTTTCCTTTGCATAACTGATTTTAAGTATATGTAAGTGTATGCATTGATATAATACACTGTACTATTATTAAAAACCTATACATCTAGTTTTAAAGCACAATAATGTATAGTGTGTGTGTGTGTGTGTGTGTGTGTGTATGCTTGCACTTGCGCATTGTATATAATTGACTTGTTCTTAAAATTTTCAATTCAAGAGATCTAGTGATATGTATTTACTGGAGTTGAGAAACTCTTCTAATTGATTTTTAAGGCTGTGATCAATAATTTATAAAGAAAAGTGATTTGAATAAAAAGTACAGCCCTGGCAAAACTTTTAGAACCATGTTCCTTGTTTGAACAACAAAAACTTGTAGGGTGCCTACTTAATGTGGGTCATTAGGTTAAAGTGCAAAAGGGTTAGATAGGATCTTATCCAGCAAGGTAAGGGAAACCCTTGAAGAGCTTTAGCTTGAGCGTGACAAGGTCAGATTTATCCTTTAGGAAGGACATTCCGGTGGCCATGTGAAGTGGGAAAAAGGCAGCAAGGGGACCATTTTAGAGGCAATTTCCAGGCTAGGTTGGAAGTGATGAGGGCCTAGTCTTAGGCAGTGGCAGTAAAGGTGGATACGGAGCTATCAACTTGTGGAAATCTTGAGAGAATGAGGTCATCCGGGGAAAGTAGGTGGAGTGAGAAAGGAAGGTACTTATACAACAGCACTAGTTGAAGAAAGGAAGAGGTGCCCACAAAGGACTAAGTACTGGGCCCAAGAAACAGGAAGCAAGCCAGCAGGGAATGTATCTGGAAGTTAAAGGAAAAGGTAGATGGAGGGTGGACAGTGTCTAACACAGGAGAGGTTAAGTGGGATAGGCGTAGGTCCATTGGATTCAACCCCTAGGAAATGATGGGCGACTCCACACTTTTGCTATGGACAGAAATAGAGGAAGAGTATTGGTAGGTTCAGTTGTTTGGGGTACTGTACAATGAGAAACAATCATTTATTTTGATGCTGTTCTCCAGATACAATCAGAAATTTTGAAAGAAAGGCACACACTTAAATTCAGACCAAACAGACACTTTCATAATTTGGTGACTCCTGTTGTGAGTCACTCAGACTTACACTTAAGTCTTAGAAAATGACCAGTTATATTTTCTGATAAATTAATGGTGGTAAGAACAACACAACAAACATTTATTCAGTGCTTAATATGTACCATGCCCTTTTTAAAAGTACTTTACATGGATTATTTCATTTAATCCTCCAAATAATCCTATTAAGTAGATAATGTTATTATCCTCACTTAACAGTTGAGACAGCTGAGGTTCAGAGAGAATAACACAGTGTAAGTAATAGGGCTGGTATTAGTAACCAAAGAATTTGGCTCCAGAGTCAAATTCTTAATGCCAAAAAATGTGCTTTACTTCTATGTATTGGTATCACTAAAAAATAGCATTTAGAATATTAAACTAAAGAAAAAATGGTGTAAATCAGTCAGTATTTACGAACATGCCCCTTGTTTCTTCATTTATCCCCTTAAAAGTTCTCACAGACATGAGAGATTTTTATTAGGGAACCCTATCTAAAAGAAATCCACATTTTTAAGGGGAAGAAGGGGGAGGCCTGAGTTTATGCAGTTCTGTTTATAAAATGGGCAAGAGGAGGGATTCAGGACAGTCAGTTAGATTGGACTCTGAGAATAATTTTATAAAGGAGGCAGATTCTGGGTAGTCATTTAGTGAAGAGGGATGAGGTAGTTGGATTTTCCATACTCTCAAGTGCACTAGTCCTGGTGGGTATGGGGAATATTGTGCAAGTTTCCAAGTTAGAGAGTAAGTCTCACTGAGCAATGTAAGAGAATGTGGGAACTAAAATACTGGAGAGTCAACTGGCAGATGGCCATGAAGCCCAGGATCAGAAATACATTATATTTTTATTTTTTAAATTTGTTTATTTTATTTATTTATTTTTGGCTGTGCTGGGTCTTCATTGCTGCATGCGGGCTTTCTCCAGTTGCAGCGAGCGGGGGCTACTCTTTGTTGTGGTGCACGGGCTTCTCATTGTGGTGGCTTCTCTTGTTGCAGAGCATGGGCTCTAGGCACACGGGCTTCAGTAGTTGTGGCACACGGGCTCAGTAGTTGTGGCTCCTGGGCTCTAGAGCGCAGGCTCAGTAGTTGTGGCTCACGAGCTTAGTGTCTTCACGGCATGTGGGATCTTCCTGGACCAGGGCTCAAACCCGTGTCCCCTGCATTGGCAGGTGGATTCTTAACCACTGCACCACCAGGGAAGCCCCAGGATCAGAAATTTATGAGAATGTGAAGGTCACAAAGAGTGATTTTGGAATATGAATGAAAACTCAGCTAGTGGGTCGTGGTCTTCTTTAGGTAAACACTGTAATCAAACTACAGGTTGGTTTTAGAGCTGGATTCAGAGACTTTAGTAATTTAGATCATTGGGTCCATTTAAATGAAAGAGTTCTTAACCTTTATTAACTTCATTTTGTTTCAAAAATTAGATGTAAATCATCTTTCATATTACATGGGAAATTTTAACAGTATCCTCCTGGCAATAAAGTCAAAGAAACCTTTAACCATTTTTTTATAGGATGGATTGTTCTTAAAGGATCAAACCATCTTTTCTAGTTTTCTCCCCCATTTTATCACTTAAGAAATATTTTAAATAAATATCTGTTTTTAAATAAAACCCATGTGTTTGAATTATTTTGCTATTCATCTCCTTCATCTTTGGGGACTATTCCTTTATCTTTGACTTCATGTTTCCACTCTATGGCCACACAGATGTGTCGTCACAATGACAACCTACCTAATGCTTACTGTCAGCACATACATTTTTGTTTTAAGAACTCATTAGTACCCATGAAGTGCTTCTTTTTCAAGAGCAATGAAAATGATACCCTTTTAGCTTCTCTGTTAATGAGGAATTAAAACAAATGCCACAGTTTCAAAAATATTTGGAAAAAAGGGACATGGAAGACTTCCCTGGTGGCGCAGTGGTTAAGAATCCACCTGCCAATGCAGGGGACACGGGTTCGGGCCCTGGTCTGGGAAGATCCCACATGCTGCAGAGCAACTAAGCCCATGAGCCACAACTACTGAGCCTGCGCTCTAGAGCCCATGAGCCACAACTGCTGAGCCCGTGGCGTGCCACAACTACTGAAGCCCATGCGCCTAGAGCCCATACTTACAACAAGAGAAGCCACTGCAATGAGAAGCCCACACACTGCAACGAAGAGTAGCCCCCGCTCTCCGCAGCTAGAGAAAGCCCGTGCGCAGCAATGAAGACCCAACACAGCCAAAAATAAATAAACAAATAATAATTTAGTTAGAAAGAAAGAAAGAAAGAAACAAACAAACAAACAAAGGAGACATGGATCTAAATGAAGAATG